GAAACGTACGGCGTGGTAAGAGGCATTCCCACTTTTTACAATGACGATGAAATTATGGCCAATGCGGTTTCCAGCATCCCCATAACCTCTATTAGGCGCTTCACACGTAGAGACAGTGAAAAAGGTGTGTTCATTCCCACCACAACTATTAAAGTAGGATTCTCGGGCAAGGAATTGCCCAAGTACATAATACTTGACTACACTAAACTTAATGTCGACTTCTTCATTCCCCCCTTAAAGCAATGCTTAAACTGTGGAAGGCTTGGCCACACACAGTTCGCGTGCAAATCCAAAAAAAGGTGCACTAAATGTGGACTTGACCAATGCGAAGAAAGTTCGTGTAACAAAAAATGCATACTGTGTGGAGGTGTCGACCACATCTCGTCCGACAAATCAAAATGCGCTACCTGGGAAAGGGAACAAAACATCAATTATGTTAGGGCTGTCAAAAAGATGTCTCGACGTGAGACTATAAAAACATATTTCGACAACAGGGAAAATCGGTTTGATTTATTAGCAACTGAGGATGTAGACTTCCCCAAACTAGTTGATGAGGAAGAGACCACTCAAGATAGGGATGTGAACATTAACAGAAGATTGACCAAGGTGAAATTTAATGTTGTAGCACGCAGAGGCAGGCAGGAGGTCTCCAATGCGTCCAAATCACCCCAAAGAAGGGTAGAACGGAAGACAAGAGCTGAGACATCGTCTGTACTTGACAAGCCTGAATACCTTAAGGGGAAGGTATCTGAGCTTGAAAGGTTAGTAACAGATATGTTCAAAATCCTCCAAACAATATGTGCAGATGAGCGGTTGAGCGGCTCACTTAAAGAAATCTCCAAGCTCAAGCAGAAGTATGACTCAATAAAAATTCGAGAAGACTTAGAGGCAATTAGTGGCGGCCCCCCGTCACCCCCCTAATCATAACCCAATGAAAGTATTGCAATACAATTGCCAGTCATTGAAGGCTAATATTAATACAATCGAATTTTATTTAAATAACTACAATTTTGACATTGCTTGTTTAAGTGAAATTTTCACCTCTAGCGAACTAGCACATAGGAATATAACTAATTTTAATATAATAGAAAAAAATAGGGACGATGGATATGGCGGGGTGGCCATAATCCTGAATAAAAGAATTAAATTTCAAAGACTGCTTTATTCATCCGACTGTGATATACTTATAGTACAAACTAAGAATCTGGAGCCAAACCTTATCATATGTGCAGTATATTTTCCTCAGACCATTCTCATAGAGCCGTTCAAAGATGAAGTGTTTAGGCTTCTTACTTTCCTTGAAAAATTTGAAAATGTCTTGATTCTGGGAGACTTCAATGCCAGAGCTAGGGCATGGGGTGACCACGTCACCTCTTGTCGTGGTAACAACTTACACAAAATTATTTCCAACTTCAGCTTTTTTGCTCTAAATGATGGCTCGCACACCTTCAAAAGCAATGTAATGGCCACAAATGGCTCAGTACTCGATCTCTCATTCACTAACTGCAGCATGCCCTTAACATGGAAAACTGATCCAGTTACTATTGGTGGCAGCCACCACGTACCCATAATTATAGAATCCACTGCAATTCAGGTCACAGAAGTCAAATTCCTAGCTAAGCACAAACTTATAGAAAGCCTTCAACAAATCAATGTAGAACCTGACATCAATGATATTCACCACAAGCTTGAGGAAGAGGTCAGGGCTGCTACCTATACGATCTCCAAAAATAGAACACCCAAGGTATGGTGGAATGACTCACTAGCGAAACTGTTTAGATTCAAGAAGATAGCTCACCCCACCCCCGAAAGCTTTCAAGCATACATCGATATTGAGGAGAAGTGGAAAGATCAGGTTAAAGAGGCAAAAAAAAGAAGCTTTGAACGAAAAATTGAGGAGTTGAATGACAATCCGTCCACAAAAGAAGCCTGGAGGTTTGTGAAGGCCCTAAGGGGTGACTTCAGAAACAACAGCAAACATGCATGGTCTAATGAGAACAACCGCAACTACCTCCACTTCCTCAAGTCTCAGGTATCCAATTCAGATCAGGTGATGCCTCTCAACAAGGAGATAGTAATAGCTAACAGTTTGGCCATAACGTTTGAAGAACTTCATACAGCCATTCTCTCAAAAAAAGGTAACTCTGCAGGGGGTTCAGACCATATAACTTACAACATGCTCAAAGCTCTACCTGACCAAGCCATGGGTAACATTAGGACTGCCTTGAACGACGTATTCCTCACTAATCAAATACCTGAGAGATGGCGCAGCATTAACATTGTACCCATACCCAAAAAGGACAAGGATCTTAAGGACATCAAAAACTTCCGTCCCATTGCTCTCCTTCCGGTGTTCATGAAATGCATCAACAGTGTCATTAAGAAGAGGATAGGAAACCAGCTGGAAGAAAGGGCTGCACTTCCCAGGCACTCTTTCGCATACAGAGAAAAGAGGTCAGCAACAGTATGCGTCAACTATCTACTGCATGAAATTGCCTGCCACAAGAGTCGAGGGTACAAAGTCCTGATCTGCTCAACAGACATCTGCAACGCATACAATTGTGTGAAAGTTTCGAAGCTTAGAACGACGATGATTGAGGAGGGGATTCACCGTACATATGTGGAGTGGATCACCAACTTTTTGGCGCTGAGAAGGCTGCAGTTGGGATCAGAGTCGGAGGAGATCTGCAATGGCCTACCACAGGGCAGTTGTCTCTCCCCCCTTTTATTTAATCTCTACACCAAGGGATTACATTCCATAGAAGACAGCATGACTACATTGTATCAATTTGCTGACGATTTCATCCTTTTGTCATTTCATCGTGACCCGGATCAGGCAGCCATGAACCTTCAACACAAGATAAATAGTTTTCACCTGCTATGTAACAACTTAAATCTCTCCTTCAACCCCGATAAGACCAAGTTCCTTAATATCTGCAGAGGTAGCAAAAAGACCTTCAACATAACGTGCCAAAATCAGTCACTGCAACAGGTGCAAAATCTAAACTTTCTAGGAAGAAATATTAGCGCATCCTTGGCTGTGAGCGAGCACTATAAAGTCACATTCAATAAATCACAAAATAACTCCTACCTTTTTAAATGTCTTACCTCTGTTAAAGCGGGTCTCCATCCCAGGGTAGCTTTAAACTATTACAAAGCCATCGTGAGAAGCAAAATAGAGTACTGTAGATCATCCATGGCAAACTGTGCGAAAACAGCCGACAAAAAGATCCAAACCTACCAGAACAGCTTCCTACGTAGAGCTCTGGGTTTAACTCCATCAACTCCAGTACCCCTAATTTATGCTCTGGCCAACGAGCTGCCGCCATGTGAACGGGCCAAATGGCTTACGGCCAAAGAAATTATGAGCAATCTCATCTATGACGTAACATTCAAATCATTTTTATACGACTGCCCTAGAGCAAACTCCAGCTATAGCCTTGTCTTAAACGAATTCAAACATGTCTTTGACGGCCTCAATGTGGTCTGTAGCACGATTCTGCACAATAACTTAAATATAGTAATGAAAACCCTTCCAGACAAAAAAGACAACATATCAAGCGAAAGGATTAGGTCCATTTACAACTCCTTAGTACATGATTATAAACGTGATAATTTTAAAATTTTTTTTACAGACGCATCAGTGGGCGATTCCTCCACTGGCATAGCCATATATAATCACTCGAACAATACAGAGCATGCACACAAACTGCCCTTCCAAGCTTCTTCCTCGTTTGGAGAATCGCTGGCGATTCTAAGAGCACTGGAAATAGCGAAGGAGTTGAAATATGACAAAATTGTTATCTTCACAGACAGCCTCATTGCCTGCCAATTGCTGATGAAGGGAAAAACCCATAACCACATTATTTTAGCGATACACAACCTGGCGACCAATGAAGACTTTGATAATGTCACTATAAATTGGACCCCAAGCCACAAAGGCATAGCAGGCAATGAAAGAGCTGACACAATCGCCAAGAACGCCATTAACTGTCACAATGTTCTCGATGTTAGCCTTACTCCTGAAGAAGCACTCAGGCGTATCCGTAACGAAATCAACGATCAATGGTATGCTGATTTTTTAGCATATTCGGATGTTAAACCGAACCTTTTTGCTCAAATTTTCAGTGCCAAACCCAAAAATAACTGGTTCAAGTCCACTGCTTTGTCAGCCAAAGAAACTAAATTAATAAACAGGATCCTCACCGGTCATACTTATGATCAGGAGTATCTTTTCAAAATCAAAGCTATAACCAGCAGCCGTTGCAGCTGTGGAGATCCAGATAACTTCATTCACCAAACCTTTCATTGTCCCCTCTTGGGCCACATTAGGGAGGGCTTCGATATTTTTCAAGATAACCAGAATTTCCATGATATTTTTCACGGCTTCGATAGACGCAAAATCACCGCACTTGCTCATTTTCTAATTAAAGCGGAAGTAAAATTCTAATAAATTTGTATATTATTTGCGTATTTATCTGTGGTGAAATACCGTCCACCACACCCTGTACTGAAAAAAAATAAATAAAAATAACAATAATATAAAACAAAATTAAATAAATCAATTAAAAGCTGATGATAACACAAGAACTATATATTGCCGGCTACATTTGTTACACACGCTAATGTGTACATCACAGCCTTCCAGGCTACTTCGCTCATTCAGGACCTTCGTCGTCCCAATAAAATATTACTACATGGTCGTGTAGTAATCCAGAGGAAAACACGAAATTGGAAGGAAAACCTGGCTTTCTAGGGACCTGGTCCCGCCAACAAACTCAAGAACCCAAAAAAAAAAAAAAGGTTATCTTAAAAAACGACTAATGTTTTAAGAAAAATCACTAGAGTTTTTATCGCTACATGTTTTCGATAAAAACATATTAATCAAATCGAATTATTTTTCAGCCAAATAGTAAATAATCCACTCACCTATACGATTATCACCATTTTGCGTGCACTGCAAACCATCGCCCGCACCGCCAGATTGGGCTACAGCACGTTCAATTTCAGCTAAACCATCTTCGATGTATTTCTGAAAGCTGGGGCTGGCGCCTTTAAGGAACGTCGTCAAATCAATATCGGGATTTTGTACCTGCAGTTGGCAAAATAACGAAGAGAAAAATAAGTACATATGTGCTAAAAGCATTAAGGGTAAAAATTGCGTTATGCTCAATCAATTGTACCACCCTACAAAGCTCTTGCAGACATGCAGAAATCATTCGCACACTATGAACTCACCTTAAATTCATAGAGTTTCAGCAGACCCTGCTGCTTTGTTTCCTTATCTGAGATTAATTTGAATATCTGTGACATTGTTTCATGCGTTTGATTAGAGATGCGCTTGCCATGCACGTCCTTAGCCGAGCCAGAACGTTGTGGTGAAGCGCTCGGTATGTGACCCTCTTTGGCCAAATTCTAGACATGACAAGACAAATGGTTAAAAAATAAACCAACCAAAGTAAACACGCGCAATTCTATACCCTACCTTCAATATCTTTATCAAGTATGTATGCAACTCTGAATGTGTTGGTATCTGATTGAGATGATTCAGTATGGCATTGCCCTTCACTTTGGCCATATTATGAATAATCGTTTTGACGGTACGTAATGGCGTGTCCGATGGACGCGTTTGCCACCAACTACTCGGTAAAGCCAACATAAATTCGTGCACTTCTAATATGACAGCGTCATAGTTCAGTTCATTGGTGCGTTCAGGCAACATTTTAACATTACGCCAAATGCATTTCATTAGCAGATCGGTGAATTTTGGCAAGCCAGCCTCCGGACAGGTTTCGCGCAAAAGGCGTATTAGCGCGCTGCAAAACAAACAAACACGACATGATGTGTTAATTGAATGATCTAAAGCGAACAGCCTTGACATGCTTTATTATATTCACATACCAATTTAAATTCGTAAAATTCGCTTTATCCAACACCTTCAAGCAAATGCCATTGATGACTTTATTGTATTGACCATCGTCGCCTGTATTCAGCTTTTGATCGGCCATAAGATTCAGCAGCGCAGACATTAAATTTTTGATGCAGGCAACGCTCAACGTTTTACCTAATGTCTTGGAGTGGAAAAATGAGTAGAGTATGGAGAGTAGCGGTTGATAGACGACCAGCGATTCGGTGATGGGTACCTGTGATAGATTCTGCCAACAAGCAAGAGCAAGAGCAAATGAAAATGAAATGATAACATAGATTTTTTATTAAAGTTGTTGTAAATATTTTAAATCTACCTTGAACTGTGCGAGCACATTTTGTATGAAAATCTCCTCATAGTCGCGTAGTACAGCCTGCTTCTCGGGTGAATCAATTATTTCAGCAAGTTCACTAATCGCAGCACGTGCTTTTAAGGTGTCAGCGCTGCTGATTGCTTTGATCATTTTAATAAGTTGAGGATCATGTTTGGGTAGAACATCAACAATGCTGGAAAGATAATACAAATTGTGCGGAACATGAGAAAACATAGATTTGAGCATGGCACAAAAGAACAGTAAATAACAAATAAAATAAAATAAAATAAGACACTACATAAATTATTATAAAAAATTTACTGAAATATAACAAAAATTTAAATAAAATATCACAAAAAAAAAAAATAAATAAAACTTAACAAAAAATTATATTACGATAAAATAAATAAAATAAAACAAAATGAATATAAACTTAAAAAAAAAAATTTGATAAAATAATTAAATCCAGTAAATTTATTTATCTTTTCATCCTATCCCACTTTCTTCACCGGACTTACTTCGTGCCACTGCTGCCACAACTGACACCGCCACCACCGCCACCACCACTACCATAAACGGCCGCATTCAACTGCTGCTGATGATGCAAATGCTGTTGTGGACTCATGTAAGGCGATCCAATACCGCCGCTCGACGCAGCCGATGGTGGTGGCGGTGTATTGTGCACTGCCTGTTGCATATAGTGCGAACGCGAAATAAGTTGCTCGAATTTCTCCTGCGGATATTGTACACCGTCGCGGGTCGGTATGACCTTGATGGGTTCGTAGAGCAATGACACATCGACACGCGGCACTTCCACCGATTGCATTTGATCGACACGCACCCAACCCTTTTCTATTTCGGATATAACATCGGGATCAAGGCCGAAGGGGCCGCTCGGTTTCGACGGTTGATATAGGTATTGTGTAGTTGCAGGCTGATCGAAAGTTCTGTATGTGTCGTTGCGATTGGAGCGAAGGAAAAAAGAAATAAGACACGAGAAAGGAAAGTCAATTAAAATTGTTTGTATTTATTTGTCTGTAGAAACAATTAAGTGCGATTAACTACAGCAAATGCAATTTTTCATTTTTGTTGGGTGTAATGCATTGATTTTGGACGGACAAAAGAGCGGGGAGAACGGGGTTGAATCGACGCGAGTTGATTGTTTATGAGAATAAATGAAATGTATACATATTTACATGTGACATGGGTCGGCTGAAATGCATTTCAAATATAACGACGGATGTTTATGCAACTATGAAACTCCAAATGTTAGTCATGTATAGCAAAATAAAGGAAATATTTTGTATTTTTGTGCAAAATTTCTAGAAAAATAAATCGCTTTAGTCGAAAAACGAAATATTTGATACCTATTAGTAATGAAGCTATATTTTGTTAGCGATAATATATTCGATCGAAATATACAGTGGGGGGAAAATAAATAAGGACACGACATTTTAACAAATTTTTCCTATTTTTCTTTTGTTTATTTAATATTCATTATTTTTTTATAAGCAACAAAAACCATATAAGTTTAAATCTAAGACTTTGTGCAAAAATTATAAAAGTTCTGCAAAAATTGCATCTAAATTTTGAACTTTTTAATCAGATTTCTTAGAATTTTTTTTGAGTATGCAGTTTTATAGCCCATTAAATTATAGTAGCAAACAAAAAAAGTTCGCCGCACACTTCTGAGTCTAAGGTATTTTTGCAAAGCAATTTCGACCGCCAAACACTAACATATGTGTAAGCGCCAATCTATTATGATTTCGAAATAAATATAAACAGTGGTGGAAAAATAAATAGGGACACGAAGTTTTAACAAATTTTTCATAGGATTCTTTTGTTTATTTAACATTTATTATTTTTTTAAACACACTTCAAAAAAGAAGGAGGTTATCAATTCGTCGGAATATTTTTTTTTTAGTTTGGTATCGCATAACTTTGGACCATGTTAACCGATTACAATAATAATTTTTTTTTAAGGAAATGTGGTACCTCCGAGGTTGGCACATTTTTCAAAAATTAAAAAAAAAATAAAAACTCTGCGAAATGCATTTAAATTTTCAAATTTTTTATTAGATTTTTTTTTAATTAGGCTCATTTGCCAGATAAACGATTTTCAAGTCAAGTCATGTCTTAGTCTTGCATAACTGAGCTTTAAGTTCGGGCGAAACCGACCTTTATATACCCGGTGCAGGTATCAAATATCGTCGTTTCAACGTTCTCTAAACTGCATTTGGATGATAAGCAGGGGTGTTTTTCCCTATTGCAAAACGTTTTCGAAAATATGCTATGTTAGACTTAATGATTTAATTGAACATAGTTTGGTAGAAATCGAAGCGCTCGGGTATAAAAAAATGTTTTTGTTTTGCTTTATAATTTTTGGGAATATAACAAACAAACACATGGAATTCGCGATAAGGCCAATTGATAAAAATCGATTATTTACTCCCCAACAGTATACATATAAATGTTCTAGGCAACTTTTGAAATAAATTTCAATTTTTGCTTTTGAAATATTTATTTAGATTTTTTGTCAAACTTTTAATGTAATGATTTGATTTTCGCAGTGATTTGTGCAGTGTTTTTAAAACCAGACAAGCGGAAATAGTGTTGGCGCCAAACAAACACAAGCAGTAATCTCGACAGTTAAAAAGAAATTTTACACAAAAACGAATTAGATAAAGCAAAAAATAATACATACATATGTATATGTAAGTATATTAAAATACGAAATGAAATGGTGAACAGCAAATAAAATAAAAATAAAGCCGAAGCAAAATAAAGCAAAAACTAGTAAGCTAAAATAGTTGAAAAATAATTTCCAAACCGCTAACAAAAGTAAACACCAAATAAAAAATGTAATATTTAAGCATAAATAAAATTATTCAGAAGTAACATACAATAAGTTAAAATATCTGCATAAGCATGGACATACATATATTCATATGTACATATGTAAGTATAAGTTCACGAAGTTCTATTTACAATTAGAAAAAGTTGGCTGAGTTATATTAATGTAAAATTTGTGGCTAAAAAAAACTTTCGAAATTGCAGACAGCGGTGCACCGACCAATATACCGAATTACAAAGAATTGTGCATGGGCTTAAACCAATGAAAGAAACAAAGTTGTAGAGAAAAGAATGGCAAATGAAATAACTGAGTCTGGACCAGCATGAAAATTACACAAAAAATTTTGCCGAATACTACTGAGTTGACGTCCAAAAGTATACAAAAAATAATAATACAAAATTCTTTATAGAAGAGCTTGCCCCTCGACTAGCCATTTTTCCAAGTAAATTTTTGTAATTAAAAACTTTCTTGAAAATATTGTTCGGCGTTCGTAGCCTGCTTAAAACTGTAATTGTATACCTGCATTTGAGCGACAACCAGACGTACAACACGAATTCGAAAGTCTCGACTTAGCAAAACTGTGAGACCTTCCAATACTTTAGAACAAAAATCACAATTTAACCACTAAAATGGATATTTATTTTTCCCATCAAATTTAGTCTTTTATTTTTTTTATGATTTTCTTTCGATCATTCCATAACCGTTATTTTCCGATTTATTTTTTTAGATTATAAAGGATTTAAAAAGGTCACAAAAATGCAGTCTTCATTACAACGGTTAAAATTAAAAAAAAAAAAACTTATTTTTTACCCAAAAAAAAAATTATAACTTAACGATTTTTCTTGATTCAAAAAATAAAAATCAAGCAAGTAATTTCAAAGTATATATAAAACTTTAGGTGTACCGTTACATTCTTCAATATCAACCCCTTTCCAATAAAAAAGAATCATCGAAAACGGATCACGTTACGCAAAGTTATCCGATAACATACATAAAAAAGATTCCGATGAATTCATAACCTTCGACTTTTTTTGAAGTCGGTAAAAAATAGCGGTTTTCCAATGATCTAAAAATGAAACTTATGGTATTTAATGGTTATTATCCCGCGATAACAATACTGTGATATCAATAAATGCATTCCGATAACTATGGTATCGATAAATGTAGTCCGTTAACAACGATATCGATAAATTACATGAAGAAACATATCGATAAAAAATAATTTTATAAAAAATACGACATAATATTTTCAGAAAACAAATGCAATTTTGGCAATTCATCAACAGTTGTTTCCACGTAATGAAAAAATCACTTTTATGTATGTATGCAGCAGTTGCCAGATTTTATTTTCTAACAACTGTAAATTACCAGAAAAAAACTGTATTTTCAACATAAAAACTGTAAATTTAAAAACGAATAGATTCTTCGAATGTTAATGTAATCAATTCGTCGCAGTATTTTTTTCATGTATGCTACCGCATAACTAGGAACTTCATCAACCCTTTTTACCGGAAATGTGGTACCTCAAAGGAGGTCTCATACTAATTGGGTTTGGATCCGATCATTGGATCATGAAGAAATTAACGGTACTCCAAGATTTTTATACGAGAATTGAAGTCGGTTTTGCTTTTTGCTTATAAATTACTTGCTAACCCTATGATTGGAATACATCTACCCCCTTTTTATTCAAAGTGGAGTTACTGCATCTCCATCGCCTCTTCTCCTCTTAAAACTTTACATCCAAAAGAGATATTTTAATTTATTCTTTCAACACTGAAATTATGGGAAAACTGTAATTTGTACGAGAAGATAATTTACCGTAAGCTTGTCTAAAAAACAGTTATTTATAGTTGAAACTGTGATGTCCGGTTGAACTAACCACCAGTAAATTTATCAGCCTGTTAAAGTTTAAAACGACACAATTTTGTTCGGAAAATTTGTCATTTTACATTTTAACAGTCTGATAAATCTTAAATTTGATTGGTGAAACTGGGGATGAATATGGCATATTTCCTCTTTAAACAATTTTTTCAAATGGATCTTTTTAATTTCTCCTAATTACATACTTTTTAGCCTTTCTACATTTCGAACGCCGTTTTCTTGTTATTTTTATTCCAATTTTCATCAAAATTTATAGCAAGTCCTCTAGTAATAGTGTTCGAAAAATGAAGATATTCGAAGAAGCGATCGAAACATTTATATATCATATGTACATACATATGTATATCATATTGGCAAGATTTTATACCAGACGCCATTTATTTTGTTAACGGCTGGTTTGGCGACACACAATGTGCAATTTTGATCGTGTTACCGAGAGTATGCAACGTTTTTTCAATGGGACGATTTGCAAGAATCACATCACAAATAGGTCTTTTTTCACACGGTCTTATTTGCAAATTGAAACGAACAAAGAAATTTTTATTCGAGAATGTGGCCATTTTTCCAATTCCCCGACTCATCTACCACGAAGAAACTTGAATTAGAAACTCACGTGTTTTGTGAAAACCTGAAAAGTCGGAAAAAGCGAGTTTCGGGGAATTTGTTAGAAATCATGGTATCAAAAAAGATCGTTCTTTCTTTTGAGAAATGCAGCTCCAGTGACGGTTCTTACATGAATAAAAACTAGGGTAGAGAGAAGGAGGAAGAATTTTAGACATTCAAATTTTAGCTTTCCCAAATTGCGAATTTTGTAATACAGTTGAAAATACTGATAATTTTCAACTGTAACAAATATAACAATTCACGTGATAAATACCCAAT